CTGCCCAGGTAGGAACAGTGTTTAGCCAATACTGGTCTATTGTACGGTAAGTCGGTCAGATTTTAGTATGGGCAAAAGAGCATGAGAGCTTAAAGCACCTGGGAAACTTTACAGCAGACTGTTATATGAATTCTTATAATAATGATGGCCACAGATTTATCGGTCACACATCGGTACATGTACACATATTTTATAAGATGTTCTTGTTCATTTAACTGAATTGAAATTACCGGTATTGAAAGTAAGACAAACTGATCTGTCAACAAACTGTCCGTTAGTTATATAGTTGATTTTCATGTCTCATTTTACTTTATTTAAGAGTTACAAGCAGTACAGTTGTGGTCTCTACTGTATTAGGGCCACTTTTTTCAACTGCAAGTTTGAAGAGTGTTAAAGGCACAGCCATCTTGTCTTATGATGATGAATACTTCAAGAGTACAACAACTGCAATGACAACACAGACATTTGTTAAATGTTTTTCACAATAATTTTGGTCATGATGTTAATAACCATTGTCTTTGCCATTTTTCATTAATTTAAATTGAAAGAAGCAGAGCAGCTTGTCCAGCTAATTAAAGGTACATCCATGTATACTGGTACCACGATCTATACACTTGCATACATGTGCTTGAATCATCTACATGACATAAATTCACATAATTTTTTTTAAGTCATCCATATTGGCAGATGGATGTCTGTTAATGGAAACTCACACGTTTCTCATTTTGTTCAAGTTTTTTACTGAAATAACAACACAAGGGGTGAGCCTGCAGCTACTGTATGTACAATGTACACATATTACAAGTTTGTTTGATCATTCATTTGTTCATTGGATCAATTGACTAATGGACCGATCAATTGATCAATCAATTGATCAATCAATCAATCAATCAATCAACCAACCAATCAGTCAATCAATCAATCAATCAATCAAACAATCAATCAATCAATCAATCAATCAATCAATCAATCAATCAATCAATCAATCAATCAATCAATCAGTCGACCAATCAATCAATACTTAAATCAGTGTCTATGCTACCTCTTTAGTTGAACATACAATATTTTAGTAATGTACCCAGTATCATTGTTAGGATGGAATAAAGCTGTTTAATCTTATCTTTAAATATAAAAATTGTTTAAGTGCATAATATGATTGTACTTATAGATGTATTATACGGTATGTCTAATGTCACTCAATGGTGTGTAGGCTATGTTATCAGTGTTCTCTAATGTTTATACAGCATTATGACTACTTCTCTTTCTGTATTATTAACCTTTTTCTCATTTTTCATATTTCAAAATTATTCTGTACATTGTGATGTTCATAATTTTCGTGAATTTCATTTACATTATAATAAACTTTATACGTTTGTTTTATTGCTGTCTGTGATTGTAATTTTGCCTCTGGCAACGATGACATTTTATTTTAATAAACCAAATCAAAAAATAAATTTGGATACACCTTGAGCCTTTGTACTGTTTAAACTTGACTTTGAGCTTGTCCTGATAATATTTTTGGTCAATGATTACAACCCTAACTCCATTGTATGATCTGACACGGACCAATAACAATACGTTGAATAGCTACGTCTGCATGTGTATATTTGCTGGTCCTTTTAAACATGGTAAATGTAGCTTGCCTTTGATTGAATTTTTAATGTTTTGTATGTGATTTGCTTAGACTGCCTGTTTGGAGAGAGTGATATATTGTTTTTTCTCTCTGCAAACTTCTTTCTTCCAAACCTGGGCAACAACCCTCAGTGATAAAGCAGCCCCTGCATGCTTGCTTGCAGCAAAGATGCACCAAATGCAAATAATCAGGGTTTGAAATTCACGACGGCCACGACAGCCAGTGCCGTCGATACCTTTTTACTTGCCGTGATGCCCCTCGGAAAATTGCATTGTCCATGGCCACTTTTGCTGTGCCCTAGGCACACTTTGGCCATTGTGCCCTTTCCAGTGAGTTGTCAAAATAATTAACAATAAATTAAGCCCAGCGCTAGCACTCGCCGGCCACGCTGGTCGGTGAGACCACACCACGAGCAATGGGGCTTGCGCAGACCGCATGGTATACGGCCACATTGCCTTCACTCATGCAAACAAAAAATTTCTTAAGCAGCGAGCGGTTACTATAGTTATGCGCACCCCTGCGTTACAGGCCAGGCCAGGTGTGCGCTACATGGACTGTCCAGAGGGGGTAGCGTTGACTGTCCAACTTCATGCAGCAATGAACATCGTGCGTGCTAGCAAGCACAGACTCGCACCCTTACGGATTGCTAAGCGCGGTGTCCCATAATGCATTGTTGCATATACCGCTATTGCACACTTTCGCATTGATCTGCTGCATGTTCGCAAGCACAAACCCGTACCCGTACCCTTACGGATACGTGTAGCTAATCGGAGTGTCCCATAACGCATTGTTGCATGTACATGTACCACCAGTGCACTCCGCATTGATCTGTGTCACGTATAGTACGTGCTTCAAGGGACGCGGACCAGCCACGTAGAATCGCAGTTTTCCTATCGCTATTAGCCCGTTGTCAGTTTGTCCCCGTTCCCTACATAGTGCCCACACATCTCACGGCTTATGAATAAATCAAAACGGACAGGGACCAGTCCAAGATCACAGTGGCATGGTGTGTGTAAGCCCTACATGTACAATTATGCCAAAGATACCTGTAGATGTACGGTAAATGTAGGCCTACATTACATGTACATAAGTACAGTCACATGCAGTTTTTGTACATAAAATTTAGAAAGCGGAAGAGAGCAGAATTTGACTTTCAGAAAGCAGAAAATTCTTGACTTTACCCTAACCACTTGGCCACATGCCCCCCACTTCATCTGACAAGTTCAGTGAATAATGCACATGTAGAACTTAAGAACTACAGTGTATATGTCTCTCTTTTACAGAACTTTCTCACTTCTGTTGTCTCAGAAGTATTGGACCCAAAAACTGAAGGCCAGCGGGTCTTAACTTCATTATAAGTGATACGTGTATATTTTCAGTGGTATGACGTGGCTTTACACCACAAGTTGAAGCCATGCTGAGATGAACATGCCCAGAATGTGTCGTATGCCGCACTTGATACTTCCCAAGTAGGGGCCACACCACCAGCATGTGGTGATACAAAATTAACCTTACCATTAAATGGCCAAAAACTCGGAGCATACTAGTAATTCTACAATGTATGAACGAGCCATGTTCAAGAATATAAATACAGATAGTGTAGGCACACCATTACCAAACATGTTTCCACTGTACATAGTGCATTTTAAGTTTACAAATAAACAATTTTTGGGGCATTATTTGTGAATCAATATTTGATCTACCAGAACACACAACCCAAATGGTAGGGCTACGTGTGTTTTATATATGGGCTTTAGAAAATGTAGACAGCTTATATTGTTCCAGTGTACACGTAAAAAGACTGACAAGCATTTTTTGCATGACTTGATGTTAAGATGGAAACTTGTATGGATGGATTATGGAACACTTTTAGTGGAATGTTCACAGTGCTCTTTAATCTAAGAAACATGCACATATCGTATCGTACATGTACATGTACACTTACACGTACATGTACACTGTACAAAAGCTGCTTGGAATATTTTTGAGGTCAAATTCCAAAAGTCCTGTAGCGTACTATGTGCAACATTGTCTACTTGGTGTCTCACACATTCTACCTAAAGGTTTTCTATTCAGCGTCGAGTGTGAGGTAACCGCTGGTGAGTGCTGAGTACTATTAGATGTTTTGTTGAGAATAACATTTTATTTATGGGAAAGAACTCAAACTGTCGTGATCCTTTTCAATTCTCACAAAATACAAATCTGTGCATGCTGATGTATACATGTAGGTATAGAGCCTGTCACTGCCAAAGACAGCTTGCAGGCTGTATCTCTATGCTGATGACATGTGATACTATGCAATGTAGAGTCTTAAGTTGAACTGTGTAAATTGTAAACACATTCATGTTCATGTATGCAACTGTACGTGCTTTACTATGGGAAAAGATGATTGCATACATGTACATGTAAAATTGTACTACGTTGTAATGTCAGTTTTGGAATCAGTACATGTATGGTGTAGGTGTATCATCCGCTAATCAGCAAAGAAGAGGCAGGTTGGGAAGGATGGAGGTTGTTTCATTTCGATGCCCTGTGTACTTGCAGCGACAACACATTGTGGCACCAGCTTGTCATACATGTTTAGCATGATCTGTGCAAAATGCACAAATGATGAGTTCCACCACAGGACTGTCGTAACTAAAAGCATGCCATCTCATTCCCACATAGAGCAAATTAGAATGTGTCAAAATCATTGGTCTGTAAGTAACTATACAAAATGCACATCCTGACTTCAGAGTGTTTAAAGAGGTACTTAAAAGCCTTCAAATATTTCGACATCTAGAGTTTGAGATAGATTGGTCACTCAAAACCAATCAACAATGAATTCATTGGCCAGAAATTTAAGACTTGAATTTTAAGAGAAGTAAAAGGCATTTTCTTTCCACGACCAACTGGGCCAATTTCAGAAACATGAAAGGTCACATTTTGTGTTTGTGTTTAGTTGATGATGTAATGGGGGGGTATTTCCATGTATGCATGAAGATAAGCTGGCATCATTGCTTCCCAAATGCAGTAACATGGGGACTTTTAATGATGTGTAGAAAACCACAATATTAGACATTAATCCTTAACCCTAACAGTCCTCAGTCCTCCAACAGGTAAAGGACTGAGGACTGTTAGGGCTAGGCTGCATGAACCTAAAATCTTACTCTTACCTGGTCGCGCCCGCGCGCGAGATGGTCGCTGAAGAAGCAGAATGTCATGAACGAGTACTGCGATTGGATAGCTGTGTCTTGCCAAATGTACGTCATGAAAGCACACAGTCTCATTGGCGGGCACGCTAGATCTCTTTGCAGCAATATGAATAATTCAGTGTTGGGCGATTATTTGGACTCTTGAGATACGAGAATAGTCATGTGAACTTATTTGGGGCGTATTTTATCGGAAATGGGATGGGAATTTTTGTTTTGGCGTTTGTGTAATGAATGTAAAATATCATGGATTTTTTAATCATGCACTATGCGTGTCATGACGACAGGAATCTGGCAACCGATGTCTGTATATCGCGTTGTAAGCATGCGTGCGATAAGCCTTGTGTTGCACGACTGGACATTTTGTGGAAGCACGCTCACTTGAGTACAAGCGGTACAACTTCAAATTAAATTCATCAACACAGAAAACACAAACATAAACATGAGATCATTTTTTTTTATGAATGAACCTGCGGAAAAATTTGTGACGGCAGTGTTTTTTGACTTGCAACTATAGAGCTGCATTCAATGTAGTGGAACGTACGACCCTTTTTGGCAGAATCTGTAGATTGACTGCTTGCCGCATTTCCATCATGCCTTCATTGGCAACGGTTCGGCTCTGCGGGAACCAGTGTGGTGCACCACACACGTTTTCAACACCGCGATTCGCAAACGCTTTATGACTGGGTTGTCAAGAATGGTTTTTCAGGCAACGGAGTCACAAAAACCTTTCGTTGTACCAGGAATTTTGTACAACGCTATTTCGAAAACATATTTTCTCCCCATAGAAATATGCATGTTTTCACCTGGACCACAGATTTGTGCTAGTAATCGAAATTTTGTTACAACCGATTTCGTAATAAGAGTCGACTGCCGCGTCGCAGAGTTATGGGGAATAACAGTCAGTGTTTGCCATGCGTACAACTGTAAATGTATCACTGCAAAAGTAGGAAACACATTTCAGATTCTTACACTGAAAGTGAGTGGATTTGATTCCTATGACAGCAACTATAATTTACTCATTTATGATAATGATAACAGCACAGAAACTGTCCACGTTGTGGGTTTGTGGTTCGAAACCTGATGGTGGCCCAGCCATGACCACAGGTACACCACAACACAAGCAGTTGGCAACGCTGATTCATCGCTTTCCTAAATTCACTTCGCTTCTGAAGTTGATGGATAATTTTCTAAGCTGTCCGCCCAAACTTCTTGGCATATTATTTACAATGTACCATATCTGTGACAAGTGGAAAGGTTTAAATCTACCCTTATTGTGTTGAACACTGTCTGGGGACGATCCATTCAACATGTTACTGCATGGAAACCTGGAGAACACCAAATTTTAGTTTATGAGATTCCTGTCCGAACCTATAAACTTTACAAAAGACAAGGGTATGTTTTATTTTATGACAAAATCCCAAATAATCATGCACTTGAACTTGATGGCTAGCACAATTAAAGGAGTGGACAAGAACGATGCAAGAACACTGCATTTTGATCATCCCTCTGCTGCAAGACTGGCATATAGACAAGTACCCTACACATGATCTGTTTACAGCTCCACCTAACATTTTGGGGTCACCAACATATCATCAATACATAATAAGCATTTCTGAAAATGGCAAAGAAGGGTCTCACGGGAGCCCATTTTCTTTACATTTTTTCGATCGTAAATGGGAAAACTGTTCTGTTGATTTTGGAAGGTGGTCTTGTAACCTGTTGTATAAAGGTAATAATTGGGGAAGGGTTTCTTTTTATTGCCTCTTTAAGCTTGCTGCCAATAATTTTATGTTTTTGACCTGAACAATCCTACCCTTTGTTTACTGCTGGAATATTCTCAAGGACTGAAAAAGTGGTCACCCTTCCAAGGAACACATGAGAAATAATGACAGATTTTGGAGGACTGAGGAAGTGGTCACCCCTCCAAGGTACACACACAAGAAACGATGACAGATTTTGGAGGACTGAGGCAGAGGTCCCCCCTCCAAGGAAC